GTCCTCCTGACTTCAGGGCCGGTGCTCTATCCATTGTACCATCTAGCTGCCCCAAGGCAATGAACTTAAAATACAAAAAGAGACATGTAACTTTTAGCATGGCTAATGTGGGAATTTATTCTTTCTTTCTTTCTTTCGTTCTTTCGTTCTTTCGTTCTTTCGTTCTTTCGTTCTTTCGTTCTTTCGTTCTTTCTTTCTTTCTTTCTTTCTTGCAATTGGGGTTAAGTGACTTGCCCAGGGTGGAACAGCTACTAAGTATCTGAGGTCACATTTGAACTCAGGTCCTCCTGACTCCAGGGCCGGTGCTCTATCCACTGCGCCATCTAGCTGCCCCTGGGAGTTTGTTTTGTCAGACTATAGAAATATATTGAGGGATTTACTTTCTGGGCTTGCTTTTTAGTTTGTTTTTTCAATTTACCCAGCTCAAGGAAGGAGTCATGGGAGGCACAGATCAATTAAAAAATACTTTAAAAAAAACCCAAAAGAACTTTCAGCCACTGAACAATCAGGTTTTTTTTCAATATGCTAACATGTTGGGGGGTTGACAAATTCCAGAAGTGCTGCTAGGTGCATGTCTCCCATATTCTTACTTATATTCAATCTCTTGGTAACCATTTAAAGAAAATTCTATCCTGCTGAGCCTGAAGATCATTCTTTGCAGAGAAAACAAATGCACAAGAACCAAGCATTTTGGCTTTCCCTGTGTTGTCTGTCATCTCATCCCATTCACCCTGAGTACCGATCTTATCCTTTCTATGATTAGCCTCTTACCTCCCAACATAGGTTAAAAGCAAGAGCTCTTTACCTATGGTTCACAGAGCCCCCAGTGGGTTCATGGATAGATTTCAGAAGAACTGTTTACCTGAATGGGAAAAAAAATTACATTTTTATTTTCACTAACCTCTAACTGAAATTTAGTATTTTCCTTCAATTCTAAGTTTTAAAAAATATTTCAAGGAGTCCATAGACTTCACCATTCTGCCAAATGGGTCCACAAAAAAGCTTAAGAACCCTAGGTTAAAAGGATTCTTTTATTGTACTTGGTCTACAGTAGCAGGCTCAACTCATTCTGACCTTTGGTGTACCGGACACTGTTCTTACAGAACTACACTACTCTTTGATGTTCATCCTCTTATCCGTCCTTGCTTCTATTTTCTACAAATGCCTTTTTAAAGTTTGAATTTGTCATTGAGTTAGTTCTCCACGCAGCCCCATCAGCTTTTAGATAGCCTCCATTTTTTCTTTCTCATATGAATTACTTATCTCTGTGTCATCACAATTGCATTCTCATCCTTCTTGGGTCAACTTCCCTTGTAGAATTTTAGGCCATGGAAGAAAGAAGGAAGGAAGGAAAAATAGGTGTTACTATTTTCCAGTCAAGAAAACTGAGGCAGACAGAGGTTTGTAGCTAGCAATTGTCTGGGGCCAGGTTTGAACTTCGATCTCCTTGACCCCAGACCTAGCACACTATCCATGAGCCATGGGCTACTACCCAATCACAGTGCTGGATTCTTGTTTAGTGAGTATGCCAAGGACCAATTCATAATTATCAACAGCTTGTACCTACTCAACAAAATAAAGAGACAGTGGATATACTCAAGCCCTAAACTGGAAACTTTATTTTGATTCTACCACTAGTTAAGGTTGGACCTAAAGAATAACTTTATATATGTGACCCTGAAGGTTGAACACACCGACCTCCTCCTCGGCATGTAACCAGCGCTTCACAAAGTGACATTCACACCATCTTCTGATTACTCAATAGTAAGCTTCTAGAGAAGGAGGAGACATTCTGCAGAGTCATAGTGAGATTCAAGTTCAAGACTGGCATAACTATGTAATCTTAAATCAACAGCAATAGTCACTAGGTCAGCCTGGATTGTAGCCATCTGTGATGAGGAGGCCTTTGAACAAAGACAATCTGCAATCCCACAAGGCAAATATGTAGAACCAACTTCCTTTAATCACTACTCCCTTCCCTAATGGAGTCTCTAAAGGATGGGGAATGACTCAGACGCTCCAAAAATGACACGTTGGGGCAAATGGAAAGAATAAAATGAAATTGAATTCTGTGTAATTATACTGATCAAGCTCATCCCCAGAGAAAAGACAAGAAAATGTACCTTCTTTCTTTCATTGGAGAAGTGAGTAACTGAGTGTAGAATGTTGACCATGTGGCATAGCTGTCCAGCTGAACTGCTTTCAAAATGACCCCAAAACTTTTTTTAACAAGGGGAGATTCAATGGATAGGTAAGGGAGAGGGAGCACATTTGAAAATAAATGTAATGTAACAGCAAAAACAATTAAACTTTTTTTAAAAAAAGAAAATGACGTGTTGGGTACTAGGTGGCTCGGTGGATAGATTGCTGGATGTAGAGTTAGGGAAACTCATCTTCCTGAGTTCAAATCTGGCCTCAGAAACTTACTAGCTGTGTGACCCTGAGCAAGACACAATCTTATTTGCCTCAGTTTCCTCATTTGCAAAATGAGCTGGAGAAGGAAATGGCAAACCACTCCAGTATCTTTGCCAAGAAAACCCAAATGGGGTCACAAAGAGTTGGACATGACTGAAAATGACTGAACACCAACAAAAAGCATTCTTCTACTGCCTTTGGAAGAGAGGAGGGAAACTGTTCTGGTGTATCCAAGAGCTCTCACGGCCTCATTTTAGGGAGTGATCCCTGCTATCATATTCCTTTCTACACTTTCTCTCACCATCACCTTCATCCTTGAGTGTTCTAGAATATTCCTTTTGTGGCCAATTGCTATCGCTGCCGTGTGGCATTATCTAACACCATATTACACCACCACATTCAATCAACAAGCATTTATTAACTGACCGCTGTGTGCTAGGTACTGTACTAGGTATTGGAGATACAAAGACAAAAATGAAAGAATCCCTGCCTTCAAGGAGTTTATATCTATAGGAGGAGACATATATAAGTACTCACATAAGTACTCAACATAATACATTCTCCAGAGATTTGCATCTTATTCTAATGCCCCCTTTTATCCAAATTATATAACTAGATAACAGTTATAACGGTGGTAATCATTACAACATAATTCCCTCTTTGTAATATGCCATATCTATCTATCTATCTATCTACCTACCTATCTATCTATCTATCTATCTATCTATCTATCTCTTTGTTTTCTCATTTGTCTCAGCATTGTCTGTGCTTCTACACCTGCTACATCTCATGAGGTTCTACTTTTTTGCTCCAGTCCAGGGACATCCTGGACTTTCAGGTGACCAATGTCCTATAGCCACGGCCTCATTAAACAATGGGATGTGGCTACAAACCAAAAGATGTTTTTCATAGGTATGCAGTGTGGAAGGGCCTGCCGTCCTCATCTGTCCTTCTAAATTACAGGTGTACATGTGACCAGCATCAGTAGTAACAGCAGCTGACGATATAAATATTATCCTACACCAGGAGTTCTTACCATGAAGGTCTTCAGATTTCAGAGGGTCTGTGAGGGGGGGAAAATACAGCTTTCTTTTTTCACTCATCTCTAAACTGAAATTTGCCATTTTATTCCATTATGATTTTGAAAAAAAACCACGTTATTTCAAACTGATCATAGGCTTCACTAGACCCCAGCCTCATACATGAAACTCCCAAGAAGCCTACCCCCTCCTTTTTGCAGTAGATTGTCTTAAAGCCATTACACCCAAGTAGTACCTGCAGATTGTGAAAGCTGTTTTCATGTTCATTTCTTCACATTTGGAAGACAAGCAATAACGAGCAGGGTTGTGGGTGGTCCCCTTCTGTGGGGTTATGCAAAGTTCAAACCAACTGTACCACAAGGACCTTCAGAGGTGGCAAATAGAACCATGTGATAACTACGGGCCTTGGAGATGGAGGCATCTTTACTTTTCTCGTTTCCCCCCTTAGCCTTAGACTTTTCTTGCTACGTTCATTTGGCTGGGGTTTCTCTGGGCCATGTCCTCTGGTCTGGGCAGAAGCCACAGTGAGGCCCAGGCACAACAGTGCCTCTCCTTGGGAGATGTCACAGAGTCTGTATTCTGGCTTCTTCACCTTTAGGATTTCCAAGTTGGGAAGGAGAAATAAAGTTCCTCCTCTTCCTCCCTCACCCTTCCTTCATCACTCTGTGCCTTAAGTGGGAGACAGCCTTCTGGCTGGCACATTCTTCTACCCAAGGGCTATGAGTTGTGTCCTAATCGGGGCAGAGAAAAGGATCCAGTATTTCCACCACGGGGCAATAAGAGCAATCCAAGGAACGCTTTGAAGAGATGCGAGAAGCATCCGAGGACAGGGCCCTGGTTGCCACTGATAGACCTCTGTGTCGTCAGCAGCCAGCTGGAGCAGGAGCGCAGTCAGCTCTTGGCTCCTCACTGACGTTACTGAGGTTCGCCTGGGAGAAGGAGGGAGGGAGGGAAGGAAGGAGAAAGGAAAGGGGGAGGGGGCGGCGCTGCTCCGTGACTGTCCTTTCCCAGCGCTTCATCGCTGGTACCAAAGTCTCACCAACTGCTTTCCAGGACTGCGAGGAGGGAGCAGCAATCCCTACATCAACGTAAGGGAACCCTCCACCCCCTGCCCCCAGTCTGGGGCTGGATCTCCACTCCCCCGCCTCTCTGCCTCCCTCCCCCAGCGCATCTTGATCTAGCTTGGAGCTGCAGCCCCGGCGGGCGTGCTGGTGATGGATAGGGGCTGGGCAGTTCTCCCCGCCTGCTGGCCCGGGCTGGGAGCAGAGATGCAGGCGCCGCTATCCACCCCCGGCTTAGCTTTGCTGCTGGGGATGGAGGAGGTGGGGGGCGGGGGAAGGAGGAGGGAGGGAGAAAGGGGAAGGGGTTTGTCTCCTGATTGGTTGCAGAGCGTCCCAGAGCACAGGCTGGAGAGGTGACATTAGAGGGGGGGGTAAGGGGCTCCAAACTAAGTGCGGCGCCTCTCTGCTGGGGGGAGGGGGCGGAGGAGGGGGAGGGAGGAGGGAGAGAAAGGAAGCCGTGGCGTCTAGGCTCTTGCCTGGGTAGCCTGAGCAGGGCACAGTCCCAGCTAGTGAGCGGAGCGGCCGCAGGCAGCCAAGATGAGCAGCCGAGTGACTTTCTTCGAGGTGGGTGAATGCATGACACTTCTTTTTTTCAAGTTTTGAGCAGGGCATCCGGGGGGTTCTGACAGTGCTCTCGTCTTGACTCTCCGGCGGGCAGTGAATCCCCATCCCTCCCACCCCGGGACATCCACTAGCCAGAGGCGTCAGATCCCGAGGGAAGCACGGGGAGAGTCTCCCTGGGGGACAGGGCAGCAAAGTTGAGAACTGTCTGGGGGACGGTGTACGTGGACGTCATCGGGGAGGGGGATTCGGCTGGAGCACAGCCTGAGACCGTGCCACTGAGACCTGGGGTTTACGCCAACCCATCGCTCGCTGTCCTAGGGTCTCAGATGCCCTCTCCACGCCGAGGTTCCGGCTGAGAGCATCAGCGGAGGTGACGGCAGCCCTCCTCAGCTCCTCTGCATTGGAGCCGGGGCCGGAGAGAGACTGGCGACTTCTCAACTTAACCACCATTTCTCCCAAGGAGCAGTACACTTGCAGTTATTCTTGTGGTCCCATATGGGAAAAGCCCCAAAGAGGATGGCGGAGATGTAGGGAAACCCAACAGCAGCAAACGCCCTCTCCTTGAGGGACGCTCATGTTGGGCTTATAGTGGCCCCGAAGGGAAGGGTGAAGTTGAACTCAGCGGTGTTGCCCACCGCTGCACCCCTTCAAGGCTGGCTGTTAACTAATGGAACTCTTTGAAGTGTCTGAAGTGTGCCTGCGTTCTGATGTGGTGGATTTTTCTTGGGGTCAAGTTTGGGGGAGCCAGATAGCACTGAGAGGAGAATTAGTGTCCATCTCCTCCAGCACTCCAAATGCACACCGGGCATTCGTGGTATTCTGAGCTCTTAACTCCCTTCGTACCCTTTACCTGACTGTCAGAGATCAGACATAGGGAAAGGAGGGGAGACATGGATGTCATCCGCAATCGAGTGTATCATCAAACCATCTCAGAATTCTCGAAAGAGCATGGAATAAGGTTCGCTAACTGTAGCATGCCCTGCCTTATACACAAACGGGGATTTTAAAATGTCGTCGCCAGGCACATACTGAACCCCTAAAGGGTTTACAACCCCCTTCAAAGCTTAGATAGTGTTCAACTCCAGAGCTATTTCTTCACGGTGATGACATCTCCCCTCCTCACTTTACCAGCTGCCAAAGATTTCTTTCATCTAGCGACAGAATTGTTTATATATAAATTGTCATGTATCATCCCGAAAAACACAGTTCTTTACAAACATCAAAGACTGAGAACCCTTCCAAATTGTGTGTGTGTGTGTGTGTGTGTGTGTGTGTGTGTGTGTATGTGGGGAGTAACATAGGAGGAAGTATCCAAACATTTTGGGATGGAAGCCATCTGGAGTTTTTAACAGGGGCACACTTCTGGAGGAATCCAGAAGAAAACTGTGAGTTAGTTTTTCTGATATAGCCTAGTTTTTCAAACTCATGAGATCCTGCAAAGAATTTGGAAAGATACCAGTTTCATATTATGGAAGGAAAACTCTTTCTTTCTACATAAAATCATGAGAATTTCTCCATTCTCAGTAAGTTTTGACTAAGTGTATGCTGAGTGCCTGAAATTCAGTATAGGGTCCTGGATTGAAGGCAGGGCTTGAATTACGGAAGACTTGGGTTCCAGTGTTTCTTCTGACACATACTAGCTATGTGACCAGCAGTGAGGTCATTAAACCTCTCAGTGCCCTCAGGCAATTCTTTAAGACTGTAAAATACAGAGAACATACTAATCTGTGTCAATGAAGAGACTTTCCATAACGGGAATTCCCTACACTGATGAAATCATAGCTTGGTTCCTCTGAGTCTAGCACAACACTGAGTGCTACATGATACAGGAGACAAGAAGTGATCCTTGCCCACAAATTTTATTATGATTTTCTTATGATGAAATAGGTCTTTGTGTTAATCTTGACTAGTTACAGGAAGCAAGAGCAATTCACTCCTTCTAGGGAGGCAGGATAGTGCAGTGGGCTTAAAGACTTCAGTTCCATCCTTGGCTCTGTAATTCAAATTCCACTGAAAATTGTGCAAGTCACTTAATCTCTCTGAGACTCAGTTTCCCCATTTATAAAGGCGTGATAATACCTCAAAGTTGTTATTATGAGGTTCAAACATGATAATGGATATAAGTAAACTTATTCTGCTTTGCAAATGTCAGCTAATCTTATTACAGTGAGGTTACTTAATTTTTACTAAGTTCATTTCCATTTGCATTAATTTCTCTTAAGGCTCAGTTTAGCTGTGATTTCATTTGGTGGGCTCATGGGGGAAAGAGGGGGGTAGTGTTTCTGAATAACAGTGGAGAATAGGGCCAGGTTCCTTTCTAACTGCTTTAGAATAATTTTAATTTCAGTCATTGCCAGATTTTCTCATATGTGAACAAAAAAGAATAAAGATGGAAAGAAGGGAAAACCTGCATAATAGCTGAGAAAATAAAAGAGGGGAGATTAAATGGGGCATGGATAGTCATTTAAGGAAGTAACCCTTTTATACACCTGCCAAAACCTTTAGTTACCTCTCTCTATCTTTATAGACTCAGGATGAAGTAGGAGGGACAGCATGGTGGATAATGGCATCCCTGTGCTAACTGGAACTCTCTCTCCATAGCCCAGATGAACATTACACCTCAAAGCCAAAGAATTGGGCACTTAGCACTTTATTTTAAAGGACAATCATCTCAGACTGTTACATTTTGTGGACAACTCATAATGTAGTTTGTCTTGGCGAATGTACTAATTACCAGAGACTGTGTGTTTCTTATGGGCTGTTTGTACTTGAATTGTACATGTGCTTATTCTGGGGGCTGAACTGCAATTTTATGTCATTAAAGGCATATTTTAAGTCAATAATTCAGGAGACAAAAGCAAGCATTCACTCTCTAGTCATCACAACCAATTCAGGGGATGTGACATTAGAGCAGCTGCTATTGCTAAAACTAGCAGTCACTAGTGGCCAGATCCAGCAGTCTAAATAGTGGTTAGGTTTGTTGGCCTCAAATAATATCCAGTTACTTTTTAAAATCAGTTTAGGTTGCTTTGGGTTTGGGAGCAAAAAGGAGATGTAAGAAGGAAGAATCATAATTTAAACTTTGGGGCGTACATTCTAAGGAGCTTTACTTATTACATAGAAATCAATATGAGTTACAGGAATCACAGAAGAGAACGTAGGGGCCATCTGGTTCAACCTGTACTCCTCAAGTGAAAATCCCCACTACAACAGACTTGACAAGTGGTCACCTAGCCTGTGCTGGAACATCTCTAGTGAGGGGCAACCTATTACCTATCCAGAGGAAGCCCATTTTTACATTCCCACAGATTTAGTAGCTAATTCCTGACATCAAATTTCAATTTGCTTCTTTATTGCTTCTACTTATTGCCCCTGCTTCCACCCCATGGGACCAAACATTAAAAGGCTAATTCCTCTTCCTCTTGGTAGCCCTCCAAATATTTAAACACTGTTGCCATATCTGCTGAATTTCCTCTAGTCTAAACATCCCCAATTCCTTCATCTAGTCTTCATATGACAGGGTCCTTCACCCTTCTTGGCTGCCCTCAATTTCATTTCTGCACTGTGGTATCCAGGACTAGGCATAATACTCCCAGACATTCTCTACGATGTCCCCGAATACCTTCATCTCTTTTCCCCAACCCTTTTCTAGCTTCCTTTTATGTGTTGTCTTTCCCAATTAGAGTGTAAGCTTCTTAAGGGCAAGGACTAACTTTCTTTCTGCAAGCCTTTGTATTCCCAGCATATAGTAAGGGCTTAACAAATGCTCGTTGAGGTGACTCCACCTTTGGTCTGACCAGGGCAGAGTATTCTTGGAAGCCATGCCTCTATTCATGCAGCCCAAGATGAGCTTTTTTGGCTGCCATGTCATAATGCTGGCTCGTATTGAGCTTGCAGTCTATTAAAACATCCAGATTTTTTTCCAGACAAACTGTAGTCTAACCATGCCTTCTTCTTCTTGTACTTGTGAAATTGACCTTATGAACCTGTGCAAGACTTTACATTTATCCCTGATGATTTTTATCTTATTAGATTCAGCCCAGTGTTATAGCCTGTCAAAATCCTTTTAGATCTTGACTTTGTCATCCAGTACATTAGCCATCCTTCCTAACATTGCGTCATCTGCCAATTTGATGAACATAACAGCTATCCAAGTCATTGATAAAATTATTAAGTAGCACATGGCCAAGCACAGATCCTTAGGACATTCTACTGGAGATTTCCTGCCAAATAGACACTGAACCATTAATGACAACTCTTTGAGTCTGGCCATTCAACCTTTCCTGGATCCATCTAATTATGTTATTATTGAGTCCATATCTCTCCATATTTTCCACAAGAATAATATGAGATATTTTATCAAGCGCTTTGCTAAACTCTAGGTCAACTAGCTATGCCAGAGGTATTAAACATGGCCTGCAACACTCCCAAGTATAACCTGATCTAGATTAAAATGTAATTGGGCAATATTTAATACAATAAATAAAAATATAATAAAATGTACACAATGTTGATATATGGTTTTCTAAGTCAATATGTACCCAGAGAGCTCCTTACGTATGTTTTAGTGGTCCCTGTTTCTATTTGAGTTTGACATCATTGATCAGTACTATTCCTTGATCTATCAGTTTAGTAATCTTGTCAATAAAGGAATTAAACTTAGTTTGGTGTGATTGGTTCTTGAAGCCATGTTGGCTCTTTGGGATCCTTGCTTCCCTTTCTAAATATTCACTATGCATCTTTGTAATCATCTGCTATAGAGTTCTCCTAGCATTTAAAGTCAAGCTCACTGACCTAGAATTGGTACTGTCTTCTATTCTATTTTATCCTATTTGATTCGATTCTATTGTATCCTTCAAAAGTTGTAACATTTGATCTTTTCTAGTCTTTTAATACTTCTCCCATTCTCCATGGTCTTTCAAATATCACTAACCACTCAGCAATCACATTTTCCACTTCTTTCGATATCCAAGGCTGTAGTTAACCTAGACCAGTGATTT